ACAGGTAGGACATCAAGTCCATGGCCAATGGTTTGAAAGGTAGCCTGTAAGTGTTGAAAATACAAGACTGAGGTCTCACTGCAGTGTTGGCTTCACTACTGATGTGAATCTGGTAGATACAGGGAGAGTAAAAATAGAATGTGTTGGAAGATGGCATACACTGATTGCTACTAGGTGGATCCACAGAGAGCTAATAGAAAGACCTGACATCATGAGAGTGAGGAGGTAGTCTAAAATAGCAGGAATACCTGCTGACCCTTATAACTGATTCTATTGTGCACAGGTAGAGAAATACCTCATTTGGCTAGATAATATTTTCTGATAGAATCTTTCCTGCTGTGATTAAGTGTAGTTTATACAGCTTCTAAACATGAATGCTCTAGGTCTGACACTGATCCAAATACTAAGCCATGAGGTGAAGAGAGTCCAGGTTGGAAGGCCTGATCCCACCATTTGCCTGAGTTGGCAGGTCCAGGAAGGACTGAATGCTGATGGATTGACATTTGTAGGAAATCCAGAAACAACAACTGTCTAGGACAATTGGGCGTGATGAGAATGACTCGTGCGCTGTCGAAATGAATCTTCCACAGAACCTGGGGAAGTAGCAGGATGGGAAGGAAGGGATACTTCAAATGGCTGGTTCAGAACAGCAGGCAAGCATAGTCCCTAGAGTCCTGACCTAGTGCTGCTCTGGAACAATATATGCAGAACTTCTTGTTCCTCTGGGAGACAAACAGGTCCCAAGAGAGTCTTCCCCACTGAGTGAAGATATTGTTCAACACTGAATTGTCTAACTCCCACTCATGATCTACTCCTGAGGGAATTCTGCGCCATAAATTAAAAATTCTGAGCACAATATTTTAAAATTCTTCAAAATTCGGCATATTTTATTTGTAAAAATAACCCAGTATAATCACGCCAGTTTCAAATATTTTGGTCATTTAAACTACAATACAATGGATTGAGAATAGGAGTGGGGAGCATTGAAAGAAATCCCCAAACCCCCTTTGTCTAACAGTAATGAGCTAGATTTGATCCTTTATTTCTAGTTATTAGTCAAATATATATGCAACAACATGCTCAGTATTACATCATAGGCAACTGAAAAGCAAGTGAGGGCTGGGGAATGAAATTCACAATTTATATTGGCTATTGACCATCTCCAGAAAGGTGAGTAGTAAATAGTTAATGGAGCATATTTTGATAGGAAAATTTTGAAGTCTATACATTTAGACCAGTTATAATCATTAAAACACCATAAACATTTATAAGGCCACGCTATCATTTACAGTAAGGGTCCTTTACACCACTTTGGCAATGAAAAGGAGCCTTAAAACTTTTACACGTGTTTTATGCTCCTGGGGGAATTCACTAAGAATGGGAACAAACCACTAACAACAATGGGAACAACTAAGTAGGCAGGCTGCTACATTATGCTCTGCCTGAGAGGACAGAGCCTTCTTCATGCCTACCTCCAAACATCCCAAAGCCTGGACCCTCCCCATGCCAAGCGTGCTGCAATAACAAGCCAGAGGGACAGAATCTCTCTTGTCCACTTGCCCACTTGGCCCCATCCCCTCCGGCAACAACTGACATCTCCTCATACACGCCCAGACCCTCTACCCTCCCCCAAGTGCTGATTTACATCTCTGCCAGCTCCTCCAGGCTCCGGGGAGGAGCAAGTGACCACTCTTGCGGCTTCCCTTTTCTTCCCCTCAGAAGTCATTTTTCTGTGGGGAAGCAAAGAAATCTGAGGATGATACGAATTCTGGGCCTCCATCCTCCCTTTTTCTTGGGAACTATGAAATAGTTGGAATAGAAGCCTTTCCCTTGTTGCTGAGGTGGCACTCACTCTACAGTTCCTCACTTGAGAAGGGATTCCACTTCCGGTTTGAGGATTTCCTTGTGAGAGTGGTCTTTGAAGGGAGGTCAGGAATGGGGTTTTGGAGGAGGTGGAGAAAAACTTGACAGCATAGCCAAAGTGGAAGATATCCAGTACCCACTTGTCCATTGTTGTAGCTCTCCAGTTGTAGGCAAAGTACACTAGTTGGCCACCAAAGCTGACTTTGGAAACAGGTGGGGATCGCATCCTTGCAGTGGTGTGCAACTCTCAAGCGTCCTGCCAAAAGTAACTTTTAGCCAGTAGATGAGGTTGGGTAGCTATTCTCAAGAAGGGTGGGGCTGCTGTGACATTCTGTACCTCATGGGAACACTCTACACCCCCATGTTCATCCTTATAATATGATTGTGTGGTATCTAATGCAAAGTTTGCCACGTCGGGTGTCTTCGGAAGGCTCATGATGTACTGAGCATTGTTATGGTAATGTTATAGGTTATAATTTCATGTATATAGTTATGAGGCTGAAAATGTTCCTCATGGCTTAAAGCAAGCCCAGGCAAAAACTCTCTAAGAACAGAGGAGCAGTTCACACGTCATCAGGACATGTATGGGACAAACCCAGCCCAGCCTCACAGGAACAAAGAACAATGGCCTAGGCAACAAAGAAGGATCTGTTGGACTCTAGAGTGAGTCACCCCCCTTCCTTTGGTCAGTTGGGGACTGCGATGAGGTAATGCTCTCTTGACTCTGAAGGGGGGAGGGACAAGAGCAAAGAAATAACATGATAAAAGGGAGAGATTATTTGCCACGTGCTTCCTCTCTCTTCCACCTCCATCTACAGATGACTGAAGCGCTGATGAAAGGGGAGCCTGGCTAAAGGGCAACCAGACAGCTTGTGGTGAGAAGCATCTAAGTTTGTAAGGGCACTGAAAGTGTTAAGAATAGCTTAGAATGAGTTTTGCTTTTATTTCATTTGACTAAATCTGACTTGTTATGCTTTGACTTATAATCACTTAAAATCTATCTTTCTAGTTAATAAATCTGTTTGTTTATTCTACCTGAAGCAGCGCATTTGGTTTGAAGCGTGTCAAAGACTCCCCTTGGGATAACAAGCCTGGTACATTATCAATTTCTTTGTTAAATTGACAAACTCATAAGTTTGCAGCGTCCAGCGGGCATAACTGGACACTGCAAGACTGAGGTTCCTAGGGTTGTGTTTAGGACCGGAGATATTGGCTAGTGTCATTCGGTTGCACAATCCAAGGAGCAGCTTACATGCCAAAGGCTGTGCGTGAACTGCCCAGGAGTGGGGGGGGTCTCACAGCAGAGCAGGGTAAGGCTGGCTCCCAGAGTTGAGGATTGAAGTGACCTAGCAGATCACCGATCCAGATAATACCAGAGGGGAACATCACAGCTGCATACCTTGGTTTCTGCACCATTTGGTGCTTACGTGGCAGTTCATATGATTGTTGGTGGTAGAAAGGATATGGAAGAGGCCTTGGCTTATATATCTGTTCATGATGCTTCCTCTTTGGGGCAGGAGTATAAATGCCCAAGGTGTGGAGGGATGTCCTGGAAACTTAACGAGTGCAAAAGTTAGCTTGTTTTCTTGTTAAAGAGATTGGTTTCACCGAAGTGCAAATCCTCAGTGGTGTTCTGAACCTTCCTGGGAAACCGAAGAGTGAAGCAGTGACTCTCAATGCATTACTGCTGCAGTCACTATAGATCAGCGTGCAGTGAGGTTTTATCCACAAGTCTACCTTCCTCAACAAGGGCTGGGAATTAAATTCCCCCAGCAGGACAGGACCCGTTTTTGAACTTCAAATACTTCATAAAATCGTATTTTGCTTATATAGCCTGGTAGTTAAAGATTCTGCACTGGAAGCTGGTGGGTGTGAACACCTTCTTCCCCAGAAGATCAAGGAATTTAGCTCCCTTGTCTGCATGGGTGGTCTTATGACGTTGCTGCCTGGATCCTTCCGTGGCTGCTTGTACTACTAGTGAGTTGGGGAGGCAGGATGGGTGACAAGAATTCTGCCCCTTTTGCAGGCACAAAGTAGCGCTTCTCAGCCCTTTTAGAGGTGGGGTACATGTTGCCAATGTATGCCATACCACTTTGGCTAGTACCATAACGGCCTCATTCACTGGAAGAGGTACCCAAAATGATCTAGTGGGCTGCAGGACATCCAAGAGTATCTTGAACTTCTTCTAATGGAATCTGAAGTTTTACCACCATCCTCTGCAACAGTTCTTGATACTGGTACTCCAGCTGGTACTCTAAAAGGAAGAACCTGCTATGGGAGAAAAACAGCGTGTTGTCAAAACACCGCTAGCTCTTCTTTACCCGCCCGTGGGGGCTGCCGCCACACAGGCATCCCGACCATGGAGACTTCCTCCCAGGCCTTGCTGGGAATTCAGCCTGCATGCCCTTGCCAACGAAAGCCAGGCCAGGGGGGAGGTGGGCGGGGGGAGGGGGGAGAAGAACTAGCCAGCGTGACAGATGTCTGTTGGTGGAGTCCTCAGGAAACAGGTAAGAAAGCTGCAAGAGGAGCTGGATCGTCTGTGTAGTGTCGGGGAGTGCAAGGACTTCATCAACTGGACACAGGATGACAACCAACTACAGATCTGCTCAGGGTCTAACCTCCCCAAATGGGTCTCCACATGCCACCCTTGAAAGAAGGTTAAGATATAACTTTATCACAGTTCATAACTTATAAGTACCTACATGGGGAACAAACAAACAAAAATTGATAATGGACTTTTTAATTACACAGATAAAAAGTATAACACGATCCAATGGCTAGATATTGAAGCTAGGCAAATTCAGAATGGAAGTAATGCCCAAATTTTTAACAATGAGTGTAATTTACTACTGAAACAACTTACTGAGGGTTGTGGTGGATTCTCCATTACTGGCAATTTTAAAATCAAAATTGGATGTTTTTCTAAAATACATGCTCTAGCTCAAACAGGAACTAACTCAGGAAACTTCTGTGGCCTGTATTATGCAGGTAGTCAGACTAGATGACAGTGGTCCCTTCTGGGCTTATAAATGTATGAACTACTCTGAAAAGTGTGCAGCTCTTTCCAAGATTGAATCCTAAAACAGGAATAGTACGAGAACGACACTTATAAAAACTAATATTTTAGCAAAACTTACCTCCCACTTTTCAGATGCAGCATCTCCACGTTTGCCCGTTTTAATAAGAAACAAACTTCCTGTTCCGTCTGAAATGGTAACCCAGGTAGAAGATGAAAAGTGTATTGATGCACAAAGGCGATTATCACAAGCTGTCACGTCTGAAGGTAGCCTGAATACTTCTCTCGGCTTTCGAAAGGCAGTGTCCTATAAGCAAAAAGCAATGAGATGTTGACAGAATTAGATATGAATAAAGCATTTCATGAATAGTTGTTTTATTACACCCAATTTTAGATTAAGAAACCTGTTCATTAGCTTCTCTGCTAATAACCGCTGCTAAATCAGACAAAATATACCCACATTTCAAATTTAACTGCATGGTACAGAACAAGCTAATTCTATTTTATAGCTAGCTCTTATATCTGTCACCACCAACATGCTAAATATTTTATATTAAGAAATTATCTTTCATCTTAGAGCACTTTACAAACTGAAATAGACATATAGTACAAACACAGGAACACTTCATCCACTACTGAGATGAAGCCACTTCCATGTTTCAGTTCTCAGCAACATTAGATTGTTTAGGACTGAACTGATCGCAAACATATTTAACTAAAGCTGCAGAAACATTTTAGTTAGAATATAATAGCCCAGGTTGGAATTTAACTGGGAGTGTGAAAGTTAACATCTCTATTCTCATAAGAAGTGCTAGGGGATAGAATCACAGAAATATAGAAGTCATCAAGTCTAGTCCTCTGTGTTGATACTTAACGATCAAGAAGGGATCAGACTTCAAATGAGTCTCAAAATCTCCTTTATATGCAGATCTAATAAACAGAGTGGACAGCTGTTCCAAATATTATACAGTACTATCAAGGCTGCCTGCTCAAAGCAACAGTGAATTGTGGGTTCTCTACTTCATCCAGACACTAGGTCTTTATTGAAAGAAAAATAATTGGTACTGTAAATACTGAAAGGTTACTCTGGATTAATAATAATAATTAAAAAAAAAAAAATCACACCTTCCAGAAGCTTACACACATCCTTTGTCAAAGGTTCATATACTTTAATACCAGAACAAACCAGACGGGCTCGGGATAGAACAAGTTATTTTCCTTCATTAATGAATCAACTATTATAAACAGTCCAGATTTTAACCCAAATCAAGAATCTGAGAGTTTTAAAGATTGAGAACACCATGGGAAAGCCAGTTGGTCAGATGTTCAAAGATTTTTTTAAATTGATTTAGAAATTAAAACCAACTTTAACTGGCCTATTAAGAAATGCATTCGGTTTCTCAACTTTCTAGAAAAGTTGTTTTATATAGAAAGCTAAATTTTAATAGAAGTGATGGCTAGAAAACAAGCAAGCAAACAGTAACTGATATCAGTCTTTTCATACATATGGTGGGGAAAGGATTTGGATAGGACTGTGCAAGCTTAATTCAGCCTCTTGTGTGCATGCATTTTGATACAGTTTTTAATATCAAGCTGACCAGTCTATAGATACCCAGGTCATCCCATTTACTCTTTTTAAACTCTGGCATTGTATTACCTTTCTTCCAGTCCTCTGGAATTTTTCCAATGTTCTAAGACTTAGTGAAAAAAATCATCAACACTTCAGAGTTTCTTGGCCAGCTCTTTTTAAACTCTCATATACAAGTGGTCTAGAACTAATGTTTTAAAAATATCTAACGTTAGTAGCTGCTGTTTTATAGCCTCCTCAGTTAATCTTGGAAAGAAAAGTATTTCATCATACGACATGACTACATCATCTGGCTTTCCCCCCCCCAATACAGAACGGGCATCTCTCTCATTTCTGCCTCTTCTACATTCCCAATTATTCACACTTCTTTGTTCGAATTCTCTCTTCCAGGTAATCTGGCTCAACAGTTGTCCACTTCCTGAAATTGTTCTTTTTAAGACACCTTGTATACATATTACTGATTTAGACTCTATTCTGTTTGCGCTCAACAAATGTAAGTAATGATAACTTGCACCTACGCAGCCACAGATTTTTAGTTCTGTGGTCAGGTCCTCTTTATCAAGACGAAATCTAATACAGAATTTGTCCATGTTGGATGCAACAATTTTTGAGTTCAGAAACTGCCATCTATCATATTAGAAATTCCATCAGTGTAACCTGTTTGGATGTTCCTGTTAAATTGTATTTATTACATAGTTTAATATTTGAAATTTAATGGTGAAAGCTCTATTCTGCATCCAGTGATCAATGCAATTGTGTTTGGTTTTCCCTTTAGGATTCTTCAGCTACAGAATAATTTAAAAACACCAAACCCCACACTCAGTGCTCTGTATCAGTTCCATCAAAAAGGAGCCAGGAATGTGCCTAAATGTCATTCTGCCTTTACTAAGTGTGATGCTGTATGACTGAAACATGATCATACATATCATTGATATTGCCACAGTTAGACAATTGCAACAAATTTTGTGCAAAGTATATCATGCAAAGTATCAATGGAAAGTTAAAAATTGCTAAATAAGATTATCCTGTTTAAATCTATGTATCACTGTATCTGAAGTTATGAATATTGGCTATATATCTGTATTTCAAATGTGTTTGTTCCTGGGGTAACACCCAAGGTAGTTTACACCCAGTCTAGTGAATAGACTACTCAAGCTTGATGACCTATTAAAGACCCTTAGCTCTCACAATGGGTCATAGAAGAGACTCATTTCACCCAAATGTCTCTTCCTGCAGACTCCTCAGCCTCTTCCTGCAGATTCCTCAGCCTCTAAGGGGCCAATGGCTACCCCCCAGTGAGTCATCAAGACATGGAAAGACATGTGATATGCTCAGGTCACCCTGGACTCCATCTTGTGCCAGTAACTTTCCACAAACTGCGTTGTGAGCTTTGTTGGAAATGGAAAATTTCCAGACACATGGCAGAGGGTCTAAAAGACCCCTGGAATTACTCCATTTTGTCGCTTTCCTGCCCTGATTCTCTGGACTGTGGATTTATGACTAAAAGGAGCATACTGAACTATGAACTGAGGATGGTCCAATCTTTTGAAGTTAGCAGAGACACCTTACAAGCAAGCAGTCTATAACATCACTGCTACAAACCTGATAAGAACATTGTAATTATTGCATGTATATGATTAACCATTTTAACTCTCTTTTCTTTTATTAATAAACCTCTAGATTTCAGTTACTAAAGGATTGGCAGCCGTGTGATTATTGGTTAAGATCTTAAGTCATATTAACCTGGCTACATGACTGATCTCTTCAGATTAGAAGGACCCTATATGTGATTAAATTGGTTTTCAATAACCACTCCTCCTTCATTGCCTCTGTTTTTGCCTACACTGGTCTACTTGTCTAGGTATAGACTACTACTGCCTCAGTTGAAACAGAGGTCAAAATTTTGTTCTTTTGGTGGCTGGTTTACACAGGAATTTCAACACTGCTTTGGAATCTTTTAACATATGTAATGTTTCATCGGTCTTCAGGACACTAAAGCACAATATCACTTGTACTTCCACAGAAATCTCCAACTGGTGCCATAACAAGCAGCATCACGGTTACTCTGGCAGTTGAGTCTACAGCATCCAGGGAAGTCTGCAAAGCAAACTTTACAACCTGTCAACACTTCACCAGGAGGAATTGGAACTTGCCTCTGAAGTTTTCAGGTAGTTTACTGATGAACCTGGACATAGCATCTTAGTTATAACGGGTCAAAGGGCCTGATGGTGAGTTATGCAGAGCTATAAACCTTCAGCTTAATAAACCGTTCTACCAAAAATCCTTTGCATCCTTTTCTTTACAGTGTAGCTTTTGCTCTATCTTGGCAAATCTTTCATTTACTGCTAACAATCCCAGGAGCCTGGTGGGGTTCTGACAGAACTGTTTGAACCCATGTGATGGAACCTGGTACTTGCATTCCGTACACTTCGCCACAGGCACGATGGATGATGGAATTTCCCCATAAGGTTTTAATATGTTACATTATTGACTTATAGGGAGGACAACTTGAGGCAGAGGGTAAAATGTCTGAATTTGTGAGGTTTTTCTCTCCACAAGCTCTATTTGTATATCAAAGGACATAGCCATCCTTTTCAGTAGTTCTTAGCAGGACTTAAAATCATTAGGTGTGTTTGGTACCAGAGCCTCGAGTGGTGACAAGGATGATGCATTCAGAGGCAGCAGGCTAGGACCATCTTGAAGAAGGTCTTGAACTGTCAACATAGAAAACAGTTAATACAGGCAGCGGGCAGTCCTGATCTTTGGAGCCCAGCAGAAGCTCGTTACCAACATCAAGTGGTCTGTCATCATGACCAGGTGAAACCTCCATCTTTGAGGGGCATGTTTCTGTAATGCAGTGGCTGCTCAGTACTGACTTTGAACAGTCCATTGGTATCAGATGCGGAAACTTCCCTTCTTGGGGATGTCTTTCAGTAGAGCAGTGGAGACAAGTACCTGGACATTGGTGACATCTCCCATGGTACCCAGAAAGGCCAATGGTGGGGCTGATATAGCACCAGACACCAGTTGTGCCTACACCAGGACTCCAGTCCTTCAACCTGTTCTTGTTAGCACGACTTCGATGAGAGGGGAAATTAATCATAGAATATCAGGGTTGGAAGGGACCTCAAGCAGTCATCTAGTCCAACCCCCTGCTCAAAGCAGGGCCAATT